ATTCGAGGAGATCAGGAAACGTCGCGATCTTGCTACCTCATGGGACATTGTTTAAAGCTCAAATAGCAATTAATGATAAACACGAAGCAAGAGAGCACCTCGCGTTACCCAAGTGGTCTTAGCTCGAATGAAGCTACCACAGAGATTGAAATTGATCCCAAATTTCCAGATCGAAAAGTAAAAATCGGTACTTCTTTGGATTCAGAAATCAGAGATCAATTGGTAACTTTTCTAAAAGAAAATAAACATACTTTCGCCTGGTCGGCAAAAGATATGCCCGGAATCGACAAAATTATTATCACCCATGATTTAAACGTCGATCCCAGTTTTAAACCAATAAAACAAAAAAGAAGAAATCTTGGTCCTGACCGAGCACAAGCGGTCAATGACGAAGTTGATAAACTTTTAGAAATTGGTTCTATCAGAGAAGTGAAATATCCGGACTAGTTAGCAAACCCCGTGGTAGTCAAAAAGAAAAATGGAAAGTGGAGAGTATGTGTCGATTTCACTGAAATTAACAAAGCATGTCCAAAAGACAGCTTTCCTCTCCCTCATATCGATCGGCTCGTAGAATCAACGGCCGGAAACGAACTCTTAACATTTATGGATGCATTTTCTGGATATAATCAGATCATGATGAATCCCGAAGATGAAGAGAAAACATCCTTCATAACAGATAGAGGAATCTACTGTTATAAAGTTATGCCATTCGGTTTAAAAAATGTCGGGGCAACATACCAACGTTTAGTTAACAAAATGTTTGCAGAACATTTGGGCAAAACAATGGAAGTTTATATAGATGACATGCTCGTAAAATCTCTTAAGAAATCCGAGCACATCACACATCTCGAACAGTGTTTCAAAATTCTGAACGAGTTCGGAATGAAATTAAATCCAGCTAAATGTTCATTTGGCGTGCCTTCCGGAGAATTCCTGGGGTACATAGTCACAGAACGAGGAATAGAAGCAAATCCTAATCAGATTAATGCTTTCCTCACTATGCCTTCGCCAAGAAACATTAAGGAAGTCTAACGATTGACAGGCAGAATTGCTGCATTAAATCGTTTCATATCAAAATCTACGGATAAATGTCTCCCCTTTTATCAAATTTTGAAAGGGAACAAAAAATTTCGGTGGGATGATCAATGCGAAGCAGCATTTGGTCAACTCAAAACTTATCTAACGACACCACCGATTCTTTGAAAACCTGAATCAGATGAAAAACTATATCTCTACATTTCAGTCTCTAACCATTTCGTAAGTGGGGTGTTAGTTTGAGAGGACCGAAGTGAACAAAAGCCAATTTTTTACATAAGTAAATCTCTTACTAGCCCAGAAACGATATATACAATGATGGAAAAATTAGCTTTAGCAGTAGTGATATCTGCTAGAAAACTCCGACCTTATTTCCAATCTCATCCAATAGAAGTTTTAACTTCTCATCCACTTCGATCAATTCTTCACGGTCCAAGTCAGTCCGGAAGATTGGCAAAATGGGCAATCGAACTTAGTGAGTACGATATAGAATACAAAAGCAGAACTAGCGCAAAAGCACAAGTTCTAGCTGATTTTCTAACCGAACTACCACCAGATGATGGAATCTTTGTTGAAACGGACTCCACATGGAAATTACATTTAGATGGATCCTCTTCTAAACAAGGATCCGGAATCGGTTTTAGGCTCGAAACTCCGACAAAGGAAATAATCGAGCAATCATTTCGATTAATGTTTCCAGCTTCGAACAACGAAGCGGAATACGAAGCTTTCTTAGCAGGACTTCCGCTAATGATTAGGGGGCTGACTGGAGGGTACCCCTATCTCCGCCAGCCATCTGAAATTCTATCATCTATATCCGCTCCATACCCCTTCATGAGGTGGTCAATGGATATAGTCGGTCCGATGCATCGTTCAACACGAGGCGTCCAGTACTTATTAGTTCTAACGGACTATTTTTCCAAATGGATTGAAGCTGAAGCTTATATAAGCATACATGATTCCGTAGTAAAGACATTTTTGTGGAAACACATCATTTGTCGCTATGGAGTTCCCTACGAAATAGTAACGGAAAATGGTCCTCAATTCATTTCAAATGACTTTGAAGATTTTTGTTCCGCTTGGGGAATAAAACTTAGCTACTCAACACCAAGGTATCCTCAAGGAAATGGACAAGCGGAAGCTTCCAACAAAACCATTCTCAGCAATCTTAAAAAACGCTTGAACGCTCGAAAAGGTGGATGGTACGACGAGCTGCAACCTGTGTTGTGGGCTTATCGAACAACTCCGAGGTGAGCAACAGGTGAAACTCCATTCTCATTAATTTATGGGATGGAAGCCGTAGTCCCAGCCGAGTTGAATGTTCCAGGTTTGCGCCGGAGCGAAGCTCCACTTAACGAGGAGTCGAATTCTAAATTATTAAAAGATGTTCTCGATACGATCGATGAAAGGCGAGACCAATCCCTTATTCGACTTCAGAATTATCAACAGTTGACCGCTCGATACTATAACTCAAAGTTGAAAAACAGACTTTTAAATGTAGGAGACTTCGTTTTAAGGCGAGTATTCGATAACACAAAAGAAGAAGGCGCTGGAAAACTCGGTATTAACTGGGAAGGCCCTTATCAAATCACTGAAAAAATCCGAAACGGTGTATACCGTTTACAAGACCTTGACAGAAACCTCGTTCAGAGGCCTTGGAACATAATCAACCTGAAAAAGTTCTATTGCTAAAGCAAACACCTTCGAACTAAGATTTGGCTTGATCCTATTTTGGGTACGTAGGCAGCTCGCTAAAAACGAGTCCAGATATAACATAAAAATTAAAATATTATTTCAAATCATGGAATATTATTCTTATCATCGGGCTAGAATATAGAGTACATTGCAAACAATGTATAAATAAATATTTCCAGCTAAACTCAGACTCAGAAGGGTCTTGAATTACGGAATAACTCTGCTCCTTGACCTGCGAGGTCAACGATGCTCATAATGCAACCTGGCATGTTTCCGTACTCATGAAGTCCTAGTTCGATCCAATCGGAAGGATGGGCTTCGAGGCGATGAAGCTCGCGAGATATGTCCATGCGACGCTTCTCTAGCTCCATTATCCGTCTCCTAATCTTTTTCTTCTCATCTTCGAGCTCATCATGCCGAGTGATAAGCTGAAGAAGATAAAACGCTACGTTTAGCAATAACAAAAAGAAGTTAATCACTAGGATGGAGAATACCTTATTGATAAACTCCTCATCCTTAACACGATCTTGAGGCGACAATCTCTCGATTAAAACGATCGGAACCTGAATGCTAGTACCCTTCTTCAACGTTTGTGAATCTTTTGGTTCGCCAGACTCTCCTGCTTTTATAAGCTCGATGTCCGACGTCCTCGAAGGATCAACGCTCATCAATTTGAACAAATCTGAAGAATTTCCTTCCTCGAACATTTTTGTAGAATCTTTGTTGAAATTCAATGACAAACTACACCCACTTTATACTCGAAAATTTATTCGATTGCATTTAAGAGGATTAATTGACGATTTCCCAAATCTGAAATTACGATTTTTATGGCAAATGTAATCGAGTTAATTGCCAATTATATTCCCTAGATAAAACGCATTAAATGAGATTTGAATAAATCGGCGAATTTAGAGCGAAAGGGGAAATGTAATTAATGTTGCTGGGTTTCAAGACCAGTGACATTTTACAAACATAAATAGGAAAGTGTTCGATCAAAAGTCTTCGCCCGATAATGACTCTAGCGAGGTAGAAGATCCCGAACAGCTTTCCGAGGATAGCCCCTCGTCGGAAGATAAATCAAAAGGGCCGGAGAAGTCATCAACAATTTTCGTCTCCGGTTCCTCTTTTTCTTCAGTTCTTAACATTGGAAGTCTCCGGAACTCTGAGGAACATGAAACAAAAGAGGACCCATCACTGGTCGCCAAGGATAAACGGTGAAATTTATCCAGCATGCGGAGGAATCTTCGGAGGCAAGTAGGTATTATGGCCACGATGTCTAGACCATTTCTCTCCCATTCGTGCGGTTCAGATTCCAAGGGAAGGATCTCTCTTTCTATCCTCTTTATGCTCTCATCAAGAGCACGGTGCCCCCTTTCGATTCTTTGTCTCTTATCACACAAAGCTTTATGTCTCCCGACGATCTGTTTAAACGAACATTTTGTCAAATGACCAAAAGAAAGGAAGTTATAGTTTTCAGAGAAGACTAAGAGATAGAAAAGGAACATTTTCCAGGAAGTCATAACATTTAACCCTTTCCTTCCCTGTTCGGAAATGAAAAAACGTTGGGTGAATAACTCCCTCTGGAGAAAATCCGTCTTCGGACTCAAACAATGGGTTACCACTTGAAGTTGTTATTCTTGAGCTTGATCTGAAAGAAGACAGCGGCATCTTTTCAAGTTTTTTCTTATAATAAGCTATGGTGATCTTTCGGAATCCCTTTTTAAGGAGAAAGGGGTTCAGATTTCTAGAAATAATTATATATTGTTGGCCTATTGGAGCAGGCTTCAGATCCAATTAAAAGCGGCCCAGCGATTCCGAAGCCATCATGGGCAACGATCGAAATCATTGCATGGTCGTATTTATGACAAAATTTTTATGAATTATAAATCTTATCCCTCGATATAAAAAGAAAACTTAAGCCGAGCTCCATCCTCGCCTTCGAGAGACCGAGGAAAAATTCCAATGTTTTTCCTTTAAAAAAGGCAAGTAGGTCTGATCAGCCTATCTCTCCTATAATCTTAAACCATTTCGGTTAGGAGGACCTTGCAAACCCTCCAGGTAAAATCGATGGTTTCCACCAAAATTAAATATTTCTTCCTAAAGAAATTTTAATTAAACCCCCTTGGGAAATTTATTCAAAATAATAATAAAGCCCCCTTGGGCAAAGACAAACTTAAAAAGTAATAAAACGGCCCCATGACCAGCAAGGCAAATTTCATGTCTTAAAAATTAAGGGGACAATCCCCCACATAAGGAGAATGCAATCACCATCATTCATTCATAGGCGAACCGCCTTCCCCTCTTGCTTGATTTGAGACAATAGCACCCCCGACATCGTAGTCTTGAGTCGCGAGAACAACTTCAGGATTAAGCGAGCTAACATCTTGAGGAGTTTCGTTCCTCGATTCAACTTCATCTCCCATAATTGAGGAGGTGACAAGTCCCTGATCAGAGGGCCCCTGAGCTCGTCCCAAGGAGATTCTATCAACATTGGTTCCGAACTCATTAAAATGAGCGCTAGGAGATCCGGTTAACATCATCTCGTCCAGAGACGAACCAATATTTGGTTCAGTCAGCGGAGGGGAGTCAGCGAACTCAGAAGCAAACTGCTGCAAATTCAAATATGGCTGAGGAGCGGTATTTAGTTTAGCTTCAGTCTCAGCTAGCTCGGCATAAACTGTCTCTTTCTCTTCAACCAAATCGATTTTTCCGTCCTCTATCTCTTTGATCAAATCAAGGTTGCTCTTCATTTCATCGCGTTCGGAGTTAAGCTTGTTCCAAGCTTTGTCTGCAGCGATAAATTCTTGCACAGCGAGAAGAAACTTTTGCCCAGCTTCTTTAACCTCCTTACGACCATCATGAGATATTTTACGAACATCACGATCTTTCAGTTCGGAAAGAGATTCATTCTTACGTTCGAGCTCCTCAGCAGCTGCTTTAACCTTGTTAAGCTCCGATCTCAGAAGCTCAATCTCGCCTTTAGCGAAGTTGTGATCAGCGAGGGCAGTCTCTAGCCTTTGCTCTGTCTCAATCAAGGTCTTCCTTGTCTCCTCGCCGGATCTTTCGAGTTTCTCGATTTCCTCCCGGCGAGCCGAGTCAAGGCCAGCAGTCTCCTGCACAAGCCGATTGGAAGATTGCAGTTTCTCAATCTCTCCTTCAGCGGCGGCAACCTTCTTGGAAACTTTTGCAAGTTCCTCTTCGTAAAAGTTGACGATGCCATTCACATCCAGAGTTGCCTAATAGAAGAAGATTCGTTTTAAAAAAAAAAAAAATGAATGAATCAAAATCAGTTGTCCAAGGATGCAAGTAGTCAAACCTGGGAGGAATGGAATGAGTGACTACTGTACATCCTCTTAACATCAGGTTTCCACCAATCAAAGGATGGAAGCTTTTTCCCAGCACGGGTGTGGAAGCACCTAAACATATTCCCGATCTTCTCTTTGTCTGGAATAAAGTTAGTTGTGTGAGAATTGAGTTTTCTTTGGAAAAAGAATCTATTAATCTCAAACAACAAAATGATAATTAAAGGTTACTTGCTTGAGACGAAGCTCTAGCAACCAGTCCCGAGCTCTGAGATGATCGAACCCTAGAAGTATTGCCTTGGGGGCGTCTAGGGGGTAGCATCCCTGAACCTAGCAGTTCCTTCGAAACAGTTCCTGAATCAGGATTTGCATCCTGAGCTTCAGCAGGCTCAGGATTTGGCAGATTCGAAGGAGCGACTCTGCCCTTCCTTATGCTCTTGGGACGTCCCTGGGGGAGGGGTTCGAATTCTTCGGCCTTCCTTTTCTTCATGAGAGAAGAATCACTTGCAAGGCCTTCCTCCTCAACGGTAGCAGCAACCACGTTGTCTGCTGCTGGGATGGAAGGAGAAGAATTGCTCACAGCAACCTCCATTGACTTTGAACCTTCAAGAGATCCATCGTCAACCAGGAGAGTTTTCCGGTAGACTTTATCGTCTCCGGTGGAAGTTGCGTTTTTCTTGTCTCTCCCAATTACAGAAATCTGATCTTTGATTTTCTTGTTTGCTTCTTTGAATTTTCTCTTGTCTCGAGCATTCAGACTCGAGAGATCAGTCCCAGCAGGAGGAGGGTTGACGGGTTTAGTTAGACCCATTCTAACAGAAAATCCGGCACCGTGAATCCTTTCCAAAGTGAAGGAATTCTAATTAACTGAACTCTCCAAGACGGCCTTGTAGAAATTGAGAAAATCGATTGATGGGGCCGGTCGAATTTGGGGACCTGCAAGAAAACATCGAAATGTTGAAACGCAGTTTTGAAATGGCATAAGAAATCTATTCAATTAAGTCCTAGTTTCTACCCAAATTCAATGACCAGTTGACTCGAAGGAGTTCGGAAGAACTTTGAGTAGAAAAACTATTTATGCGGAAGAAGAACCAAAACTTCCTCCAGGCGTTGTCCTTTAAGGGCAGGCTGTCAATAAGACTCCAATCCGCGATCGGATAAAGGGCATAATGCCCAGAAGTTCGGGACCCGCGAGCCTGGAAAAGCTCCAAGAGTTCGCAAAGTCTCAGCGAGTAACCAGCCTCCGCCGCAACAGTAAAGGTACACAAAAGATACCGGAGCATGTTGGGCGACATCTGAGAGAAGGCAATTCCCAGATGGTTGAGGTAGGTGAGAAGTATCTCGGGAAGAGGAAAGAATAAGCCGCATCCTTTGAAATAAATTTCATAGGCACAACAATAACCTTCTCGCCCCGATTCGGGAGACTCGAAGGGCTCTGGAACTATCATCTCAACCTCAGGAGGGATGTGACATAGTCTGCGAAGATCGTCGAGAGAATCGACAGTTGATTCGCTCTGAGGGTGAAGATCAAACTCGTCTCCGGTATGGATTTGAGGTTCGGATCCATCACCCATAAGAGTTTCGAGGTCATCAACATCATACTCGCAAAATTCGGAAGAAAGGTTCGACATTTTACAAAAGGGATTTTTTACCGAAAGGAAACAATGACTTCTGTAATAAGAATGGAAGTTCTCTAAGTAAAGAAGATAAGATGGAAAAGAAATTCTACCTCTTAGAACCCTAGAGTATGATGGAAAACCGCCTCGAGAATATTGGGAAGTGGGACAGTTTTTCCCGTGGTATTAATATAAAATTAGGAAATTAATGATCACGATTGTCAGGGAAATCAAATCATCTGATTATCCAAGATCGGTGTAACAGCGTAAAACATGGAGAAATTCCAGAGTGTTAAAGATCTCGATCGAGTCATTAATTACTATCTACTTAAGTCTTCCAAGTCGAGCACTCAACTCGCAAGACTTGGGGGGCTAAATGTTGGGGTCGGATCCCACACACTTTCGGTAGGATCTACTTGGATCTGTCCACGTCATTATTACATAATAATCCTCTTGGATTTCTAGGTATTTCATTAGGAGAATCGAGCTCGACCAGCCGGAAGTTCGATTCAGTTTATTAAAGAGCTCGATCTTTACCAGTATGGAGTTCGCTCTTATTCAGCATACAGTTCGCACAGAGAAAGGCAGAAGCGAGGAGAATATTGTTCGAGGTTCGCGGCAGCGTTAAGACGCAGGAGTTCGGAGTCAACAAGAAAGAGTTCGGAAGATCCACGCGAGGCCTAAGATAGTTCAAATTCAAGCCGTTTCAGTCAAATTGTAACCTACATGATTAATGTGGGTCAATGCGATTATGAGCAGTAAATGACCGCATTGATCATGTTTTCTCTATAAAAACAACCTCAAACGCATGTGTTTGGGGGGGACAATCTTTTTACCTCTTACAATCAAGCAATACAACATACTTTCTCTCTTACAATTTCGCAAAGCTCTTTACTATTTTGTTCTTATCAACTTCTTTCGCTTTATTTAGTTCAAATTCTTATTTTCATCCTTTGATTTTAGAGTTTTTTCTCCGCAAAAATACTTAAAGACAATCGAGTGTGAATCCTACATCCACAGGGACTGAACAACAGGTGTAGATGCATTTGCTCGCATCATTCCACGAAAGTCAGCGAGCAAAGACGCTTTAAAACCTTTTAGTTTTTTTTTCCAGAAGAGTGTTCACATCTTCTGCAGTTTTGATAAACTTGGGCTTTGAACACTTCCTCTGTGGTGGCATTTTAGAAGATTCAGAATCAGAGGTGCCACTAGTTGTAGTTCTTTGTTTCCGTTTGCGGGAAGTGTACAATGAAGGTAAGGAGCCATCACCACTACACCAAAAGGTTTTACTAAACGAAAAACCTGCAAAAATAAGCCTTTCAAGATTGCCGACTTTCTCATCTTCTGATTCTGAGGAACAAAATGGAGGGCCATCCGGGTGTGGGTACAAAACCAGCAACTGGAACATGGGAAGAATATATTAGCGCTGCATAATGGATGGAAAAACTGGAGTAGGGACAACTTACAGATGGATCATTTTCAACAGACAGAATGTTTGAGTAATGAAATGACTTGCACTTGGGAAGATGCGTTAAGGTTTGGTGAAGGAAAGTTGACTGATCTTCAACATGAGGGAGGTATTGAAGGAGCAACGGGATGGATCGAAATGCAAACAACTGGATAGCAAGAGGGAAACCATGAACAGCCATGGTTGATTGCTTAAGCTTGTTTATCAGGTCGGCCTTGGTCTCAATTTTTGCCCCAACTTTCACCATCCGCAGAAGCCTTTGGAACGAGTGGCGGCCCCATGGATATTTTAAGAAGAAGTCAACATTCTTCACCATCTCTACAACTTCAACTGAAGGTCTAACAGGTTGGGTCTTGCACAAAAGTATGCCTTCAATAATAACAATAAGAGCAAGTCTAAACCTACGCTAGATAGGCATATCTGGTTCAACATTTAACCAACCAACAATCTCCTTAACCGTAGCAGAGCCCAGCTTCGGACCAATTAGTTTATACCAATAAGGAGCATCACCATTCGCATGCGTCGTTGCTGCAGCAAGTTCGTCGACAGGCGGCAGAGGAGAGCAACACAAACTAGTAACTTGGTGAAATTCTGCAAGAGAGAAACGCAAAGGCTGCCCCCTGTATACAAACCAAGTTTCATCTACATTGGTCGTATCAAGCTGTCTACATAACATCTGGTGCAACAATTGACCAGATACAGAACTTTGCCTGACCGGCAGGGAGAATAATGACCCAAGCGGCGAGGACAATAGCTTCTGAAGCTCAGGTGTCCCTTCCAATGCAGTCAATATGTCAATTAGGTACCGAGGCTTAGAGTATGAGTTTATACGCACCGCATGGCCAGGGTACCGATCGACTTGAAAAATCATTTCAGGCAGATCTTCTGCAATTTATGTAAAAACAGAGATGGTGAAAACGAGGTTAGACAAGTACTATAAGGACAATTAGGGGAAACAAATCTTGCCATATAGTATTTTTCCTTAATATTTTCAAAACTAAACCCTAAGGGAACAACATACAAAGCCTAAACCCAAACAGGGAGTGCATTAAAACCAGAAATTGTTAAACCGTAATGAGCATAACAGAACAGCTAAGTATAATGACAATCCTGCCATATAGTCTTCTTTCTTAATATTCAAAACTAAACCCTAACGGAACAACATACAAAGCCTAAACCCAAACAGGGAGTGCATAAAAACCACAAATTGTTAAACCGTAATGAGCATAACAGAACAGCTAAGTATAATGACAATTAGGGGAAACCAATCCTGCCATATATGCTTCTTTCTTAATATTCAAAACTAAACCCTAAGGGAACAACATACAAAGCCTAAACCCAAACGGGGATAGGTAAAACACCTAAAACCATATAGTCGTCTTTCTTAATATTCAAAACTAAACCCTAAGGGAAAAAGATACAAAGCCTAAACCCAAACGGGGAAAGGTAATACACCAGAAACCATAATGAACAGAAACAGGGTATGGTGGTTTGTGTGGGAAGAAGAGAGAATCACCTTTGCAAAGGAAATGATCAGATAGACTCCCATTTGAAATCATTGTTATGAGTTCAACCTGCAACAAAAGAAACACAAGTGTGAAGCAGACCAAGTAGATATCCACGAGGAGAACAACCTCAAGACAGATCAACTGCGATGAGAAGGAAATAACAAAAATTGAAAATCAAATTAAGCTAAGATCCGAAAGAAACCACAAAATTTGAATTGTAACCAAAGATTCGGAAGAAAGCATAAGCGATGTAATTTTTGGAAGATTGGAAGGTAGTGACAACACATTTCTCCAATTTTTTAAAAATCTAGAGAGAAACCCAGAAAAGAAGTAGGTGAGAGGAGATGCGTAGAACTTACTCTCTCTGTATCACCGGCAATCAAAGTCGGAGCTCCGTAACTACAGTTGGATCCGGAGGAGCTACTGGTAGTGCGATAATGGGAGGTTTGATGACTTACGCTTGTCGATTTGAGAACACAGGTAAACACAGGTAAATTAAGATGAAGAAGGAAGAAACCAAACTGCTTTTTTTTTTTGAGCAGAGAGAAAGAAGACTGACAAAGCGTGTAACAGCTGATACAAGCTAACTCGTGGTATAGCAAAACGTCATCATCAGCTCGTCGCCACAAAAAAAAAAACAATTTAAAAGAATAAAAAAAATAACAAAATTAAAAGGGGAGTGTAAGCGTGAGGGCAAGGTAGACATTTCACACCGGTTGGAAATGCCTAAAACGAAAGGCTTGGCAGATGTACCTGATGTCGTAAGTGTGGCTGAGAAAAAGCCCATTCCGGTAAATAACTCACCCAAAATATACCCGACCATGGAATATTAAAAAGAAACATTAGACCATGGAATATTCAAAAGATATTGTTTCTAGTGACTTCAAATTCAAATCCCTCCACCGATTGCGGAGTCATGTCAGCTAAGTTGATCGGAGATCTCGGATTGGTTGGTTGAGCAGAACCATCAACAGAGTTAGACCAGGGAGAAGGACTTCCAGCAGATGAAGCTCCCTTGGCACGCGAAGGAGCATGCATGTCCTGTTGGTTCGAGAGTCACCGGGTCAATTCCGTTAAGCCTTAAGAGCACATCCATGGCTCCCTTCATCACTTCCACGTTGTCCTCCATCTTGGTGATACGTGTATCAATGTCCAAGTTTCGAAGTAGAGAAGCGGAAGCAGCCTCATTTGGATCAACATTAAGATATTGAATTGATCCAAGACCATAGATTCGCCCTTTGCTGTTAGTTGCCATTTGTGAAAACATGAAAACAAAAGTGAAAAAAAATATTATGCAACAAAAGAGAAACATAATAATTAAAACTGAACAAAAGACAGATTGCACAATAATTAAAAACATTGATATACAAGTAATAAAATAAAAAACTAGGTGGAATGTAAAAGTAGACAAACCATTTCATAAGCAACCCGGGAATGTTTTTTTGCTCCTGAAACATGGCGGTGAGTGCCTAATCCCTCAGGATCAGAATTCCGGTTCTTTGAGTTTGTTTGGCTCCTCTCCTTAGCTCGCTCTGTCTCCCAAATATCTAGCATACGGTTCCAGTCGGACAAACCAATGTAATCAGGTTTTTTCTCATTTCTCTTACCCTTGCTTACAAGATTTCTGATAGAATCTTTCAACGTATCTTCCCAACAGTGAAGAACCTGATCATGATGCTCACTACTCCAATAGTATTTTCGCTACAAAAAAAAAAACAGAAGTAGATATTACCAACAATGTAACTTGCATTAATATAATCAAGTCAAATACCAAACATGTAAAGCATACCACAAAACTAGTCCACCATGAATCCTTCTTACTCAATGGGACCATACCAAAATTCCACCATGGTCCCCAAAAGTCAGATTGATATGTTGCAACTATGTCTTAAGTGATGCAATCATGGATGTCAAATCTGTGATAAAGGAAAGAAACTCTTGTATTAATTATAAACAGAAACATGATTCAACTATAAAATAACTATCTAAAGACAAATACTTACCACAAAGCTCCATTAAGTCTCTGTGGATGGAGATAAGGCATGTTTCGTCTCTCGGGAGCACTCATCACCGCAGCTAAACTGGGCAAAGGATGTCGAGCAGCAGCAGAATTAGTAGATCTTGTTGCTCCAGGAGGCATAGACATATTTTCTTGTAGTGCATTTTTGTTCTTTGCGGTGGGGCTATAGGAACATAAACCGCACATCCAAAAACTCGGAGATGAGATACATTTGGTTCCTGACCAGGTGTTAATTGTAAAGGGGAATGTTTATTATATGCGCTCGGTCTTATCTGGATTAATGACGCAGCATGCAATATAGCATGACCCCATATAGAAATTGGAAGGTTTGTTCTCAGTATTAACGGTCTTGCAATGAGTTGCAGCCGTTTAATCAAAGACTCATCCATGCCATTTTGTGTATGAACATCAGAGACCGGATGCTCAACATCGATTCCCATTGACATACAATAGTCATTAAAAGCTTTTGAAGTGAATTCACCAGCATTATCAAGTCTAACTTTCTTTATGGCATGATCAGTGAATTGTGCTTTCAACCTGATTATTTGGGTAATATATTTTGCGAAAGCCGTATTTCGTGTTGTCAATAGACATACATGTGACCATCTACTAGATGCGTCAATTAATACCATAAAATATCGAAACGGACCGCTACTTGGGTGGATAGGTCCGCAAATATCACCATGAAGTCTCTCTAAGAATTCTGGCGATTCGTTGCCAATTTTGGCTGGTGAAAGCCGAATTATGAGTTTTCCTTGAGAACATGCATCACATGATAACTCATCAGATTGAAATATTTTCTGGTTTTTCAATGGATGGCCATTAGAATTTTGCACAATTTTTCGCATCATGATGCACCAGGGATGTCCAAATCTTTCATGCCAAATTTTGAACGTACTAGTAAACTTTAAATTTACTGTATTATATGATGCGATCATATTTATTTTTGTGCAATATAATCCAGAAGATAACATTGGTAATTCTTCTAATATATATTTATCCTCGGATGTAATGCAAAGATATTCATTGCCATTTTTATTCATAGTCTCGATATGATATCCATTTCTGCGAATATCTTTGAAACTTATCAAGTTTCTCTGGGATTTAGGGGAATATAATGCATCATTTTCAAATTTATTTCCCCTTGGCATTGAAAACCAAGCTCTTCAGAGCCTTTAATAATCGGTGCATTCCCATATATAGTATTCACGCTTCCTGCAGAATTTTTTGAATTTAGAGAGGAGAAATACTTTTTATCTTTAAGTATTGTGTGTGTTGTAGCACTGTCCGCTAGGCATAAATCTCCATTTCAAATCTGAGATGATGACATATTCTGGATTTAATTTATTCAAAAAAAAATACATTAATAACTTATTTTACAACACACTTTTATAACTTATTTTACAACACACTTGAATAATAAAAATATATATACATAAATAAATATTATTTTAGTCAACTTGTTGGGCGTTGATATCCTCAGGATCAATGAGGAAATCAGAAATATCGAGATGTGCATCATTATCAATGCCATCGAAAGAGGGTCCGGATTCATCCAAGATGAAGTTGGTTTCACCTTCCTTTGCATTTCCCTTTTTGGATTTTTGATACAGCTCGACCAAATGTTTTGTCGTACGATAGGTACGAGACCAATGTCCTTTCATGTCGCACCTGTAACAAACATCCTCATATTGCTTTTTCATCACACGACCAACTTCATTCTCCTTGAACTTTTTATTATTCCTTTCATTGTTGGAATTATAAGGATGGAAATATCTTCCTCGTCCACGTCCACGTCCACGTACATATCCTCCTCGTCCACGGCCACGGTCATTTCTTCGACCGCGTTTACATCCGTAATTATTATAATCTGATGAGGCAACATTCACTTCAGGGAATGAAGATGATCCAGTTGGACGGGATTGATGGTTTAACATCACAATTTCATTATTTTGTTCTGCAACCAACAGAACCTGCATTAATTCAGAATACTTCGTGTATCCTTTTGCCCGGTATTGTTGTTGCAGAAGTACATTTCCAGGATGAAATGTTTGGAGAGTTTTTTCGATCATATCGTAATCAC